TGTCACCTTCATCAGACAAATGACCAGTGAAGCGTATGTACACATCGGTGTAACATATGTACAAATTAACGTGCATAAACGTGTGTGGAGAGGGGGAACAATATACAGCCTCTTTCTGATGGAGGGGATCTCATCACTTATAATGTGTTATCACATTTTTCAATCAAGTTGATAAAGAAAGTTTGAAGTCTATGATCGGACATTGTCAAAATGAGATGTCAAACTGTATCTCATAAAATGTAATTTAAAGATGTTAGGTTTTTATGTAAGAAAAGAACAAGTAGATTTCTGTGAAATTCTGAAAATGAAGGCATACCATGCAGTTGTGCCTAATTATATTATTATGTGACTATGTTAACATTGTCAAGAATGCATTTGTATTATAACGTGACATCATAAAGTTAGATGTTAAGGTCTTATATTTTTCCATATTTACAACATCACAAAAAGAGGTAACCACTAATCATACAATTAATTATAATTTAATTGGTTGAGCTTGATAGGGTGCATTGTAATTTCAGATAACCCATATTTGTAATTTAATTTGTTGTTGAACCAATAAACTGCATTTGATTGGCTGTTGCCTGCCAATGCAGTAGACAGTTGCTGCAGAAGTTAAGAACTAACACATTGCTTAGGCATTGAGATTGGTTTTCTTGATTATAGATATTTTGTAGTGAAATAATTTGTATAAACAGGAATTGGTCCTTATTTTTTCCACATTTTTTGGATCATAATCATATAAATCAACACTGGGATTATGATATTTAGATATTTACAGTTGTAACATTTTTGAGAAAAGGCTCCATTGGAATGATAGGTTCAAAATTAGAAGAATTGATTTTGACATACCCAGAACTGGAAATCCTTTTCCCAGGAAATTTGTGGAAAATGATACCGCAACAATTTGTATACAAATTTTGTAGTTGCAAGTATACGTATGTACAATATTTAGAAGTGTAGAATCCATGGGTCTAAGGAAGCCAATGGATCGACTGGTAATGTTTCTTTGTGTCAATTTCTTTCCAGGATGAAGGACTCCACGGGCTGGCACTTGATATGGACAAGTCCCTACATGACCTGCCCTGTGGAGAGAATTGCTATCAATGCTAAAGTCCTCAACCCCAACCAAGACAACACCAACAAAATGGTGGCTGCCTCCTATGGTACCAACATCCAGCTGTGGTCTGTGTCTGATGACGGGTCAAGTCGTGAAATAGGTCAGTTGGGAAGGGAGTTCTGCACAGATGTCGGGGATAACCAGTTGTTGTCCGATTGATCAGAGTGAAATCACTGAATGTTGGCATGTAAATCCTTCAAAGATTGCAGATAGTGAGGGCAAATGTTTTATATCCATTTACTGAACATCTGAACCGTTTTAGATCAATATTGTATGTTTTTCAAATGAACAAGAAGCTTGGAAAATTTCAGACAAGAACATAAAATATTTCAACGTCTGCTATTAAAAGCTTGTGAGCTGATCCTCTGATGGGACAACTGTTGTGAACGCTTGTTAGTCTAGATGGGACAACTAGTGTTAGCAGTTGTAACGGATTTAATAGGCTGTGGCTGATTGTAAAAGCTTGTCAGATTGTCCTTTTAATAATAGGATCGGTTGTTTTAATGGGCTGACCATCCCCAGGCTGACCTGTGGTCTTTCATGGTCATGAGAAGAAAATCAACTTTTTTCTCATTTTTAATTGTTTGGCATGAGCAGCATTTGGTTGACGAGGTGCTGTGGTTGACTTGATATTTGTGTTTTACAGATATGTCTTTGGATTTTTAAACAATTTAATTGATGTGATTAATTAAATTCAATATCAAAAACACCGAAAGGCAATCATAGTAAAGGAAAAGGATGTATTTAAAGTGGTACATATATATCATTAGTGTGAGGTAATAGGTAGCTCATGTAATAATTCGGCCAATAATAACAGCAGTTAACTATTGCTGTTTTCCCCCTCTTTAATGAGTGCACGTTAATAACTACAGCAAACACTAGTCAACAACATAATAAACATCGCAACAGTGTGAACAGCCAAATTAACACTGGGCGGAAGGTTCCCGGAATACACGATTTCATTGGTCTTGTTTAGTTGGCATTGTGAATTCTGAGATTACCCAGGCTTGAAACCCAGATGATTGTACAGTTATCATTGTAATCTACTGGGACGTGTACAATGTTCAGGTTTTAATCACACATATGAATGAACTTTTTAACAGACCTAGATATTTGAACACCAATGTGTTTGAATACTCTATCAATCATTTGATGACATCTATTGTAGGTGTGTTTCCTCTGAATGTGTCTGTGGATTCCTTGTTCTTTATCGGAAGTCAGCTTGTTGCTCTCAGTCAAACAGGCAAGGTTGGAGTGTGGCATGCCATGACCCACAACTGGCAGGTATGTACAGTGATGGGACAAGCAAAATACACACATGGTGAATAGGGTTGAAGATGGATGGGGAGGGGAGGAGAGGAGGTTAGAGGAGGGGAGGGGAGGGGAGGGGA